AATGTATTTACTTATTTTTAGTTTCTGCATTTTAGAAAATTGGTAGATTACAATGATTATTTCATGCGATTTTTATAATCAATAACTTTCCTTTTGTTACTGTACAGAAATAATCTTAATAAATATAGTATACGATAGTAAGCTAAGTATGTTAAATAGCACACGATGAAACTTTTTGTTTCTATCTATTATGAATTTCTTTGTTATTACAAGCACATAAAAAGTAAGCGAAGAAAATAGAATATACTTGAATTTAATTAAAAAATAAAACCTAATTTCTAACATTCATTTATTGAGATAAATAAAACCTAATTTCCAACAATCATTTATTGAGATAACTACTAAACATTCATAACAGCAATAGAAAAATACTTAAATTTAATAAAAAATAAAACCTCATTTCCAACATTCATTTATTGAGATAATCTAATAAACATACAAAAATGGCAATGTTTTTAAAAAGCGCAAATTACACAGTGTTTGGAAGAATAGATACCAAACAAAAAGTAATAAAACTGCAATTTGCAATTAATAAAAAATTTGTCTTTTTTAATATTACACAATTAAATATCACATAATTATAGATTACAATATTTTATAGAAATGCTAATATTTCTTTAACACTATTTTTTCGATCATACATTTCATACACTGTTTAAAATCATTAACCTTTTCTGTATACTATACAAAAGACAACATAGTATAGAATGTGCATTATTATTAATTTTAATGTATTGCTTCTTGCTGTTACATATATCTAATTCAGCTTCAGCTGTCATATTAAGTACTGGTACCAGTCCAATAATTTCTTTGTATTTTGAAAATAATGAACATACCATAACAGCTTGAATTGTTTTTGCTTCTGCACTAATTGCATTTTCAGCAAAACCGGAAAGTGCCGTACCGTTGTATGTTATTTTTGGTTTCAGATGAATTAATTCTGAAAACAAAACCTTTCAATATCAACACAACAATCCATTAATATGCATGATATATGATATAGCTCTTAGGACGTTATAACCGAGGCACAAACCACTACTTTAACTTTTAATCACCCGCAACACATAAAACACCAAAACAGAACACAATTTCATGAACACTATATTCCCGATTAGCATTGTAGCTCGGTGGATTAAATATTTTTTAAATGATGTATCCAAAATTTTGGTGTCTTCTTGTAGAGCACATATTCACAAACAGAGTAAGCAAAAATTCCACATTCTCACGTTGATTTTTTCCTCAATTCAGAGGCTTCCAAACAGGAGCTCGCAGCAATGCAAATTCACTCGCTGAAGGCAGTTGAAGTAGATAGGGAGAGAACAATGAGAAGATTCACAGTGCCTTCTTTGATTGACAGTGCATTATATTTACTTTTAATATAAGCAATATTATTTATATCAGTCATTGCTTGATTCAATTTCATGCATGAAGTCTGTCTTTTCAAATGCTTTACAGATTGCAGCTTTTTACCAAATTACTTTAAAGAACTGCTGGAATCTTTCTGTTCCGTTTACCGCTGTTCGCCACTCTCAGCTAGAAAGTCTAGCTTTCAAGTAACTGCAGTTCAATTCTTCGAACTTTGAATTTGGCAGCTAGCCAAAGCACGCAAAACATCGAGACTTTTGTTTATATAAGCATCCAGTAAAGTAAATAATGTACATGGAATGTCACTGGTTGAAGAGCAATGTATAGTTTCTCAGATTTTTATGCCAACATTTATTAGTAATTTATCAAATCCATTAATTTTGTTATTTTCCATGAAAAGTGTTAGTATTTCTTTCTCTTTTTCCATTAATTTTTCCGTTCTGTCACCATATTAATTCAAATAAATTCGTGCTTACTTCAAAAATAATAAATAAAGTCATATTTCAGTAGTGAAGTAATTGCTAACATGTGATTTGCATTGATTTCGGAAACATGATTTTTAAAAATATATAAAAATCATAACTTAATAACTTACTTTATAGGTTAATTTCATTTTTAAATATTTTGCTATAATATTTATAAAAAAATTTTAAGTATTAATTATTTTAGCAAAATTTTAAACAATAATTTAGCATGCATTTTTAGTACTAATTAAATTTAATTATTCAAAAGTACTTAAATTAAATTTATATTTCATTAGATGAATCTACCTTAAATTAATATATTTAAATGAAATAAAGTAATGAAACATTGCAAAGCAAATCTTATGTGAACTTTGGATTCTTGAAAGGGCAGATTTAGCCTCTTTTCATTCTAAAAATAACGCTGATGATTTATGAGAAAATTGCTAAAATGACCACGTCTAAAAGCGGTCATATTATGACGTTTCAGCGATGTCGTCAAATTGCCAGGATGCAATAGCAAATATTTTGCGGCATCGCAATGTTGTAAAGATGTCGTAGAAGCTACCACGACTACTTTGCAACCTCTCGGACCAGTTTGCAACATCGTGTGCTACTTGGGATATACTTATGTACTGAAGCAAAATGTGTAATTAAACTTTTCTGAAATATAACTGTTGCTTGTTCATCACTGTTTAGCAAGTAACTTACCAAACAAAATAATTAGAATTTTAAAATGTTGGGAGTAATTCCTTGGGAAGCATTTTAAACTAATATATGGTCCTGTTATTAAACTCATTATTTATTCCTCCATTAAAAAGGAGGAATATGGTATCCTTACAAAAACTGATAGTTATTTTATTTTGCTATTGTTCTGTTTTCATTTTGTAATTTATTTATTTCTCTGATGTCCTTTCTGTGGCAATTTTTAAAAGGAAACCATATATGGTATGGAAAATGAAAGTTTTTATGCAGGATATGGTTGAGTTCATTAACAGTTTTGTGTGTATCCATATTTGATCAGTTTCTTTGTTTTCCCGTATTAATATTATTTTAGAAGCTTTTTTATGACCTGTTAGTTAGCATTTGATTTTCAGAGCTTCCTCCACCCTAAACTGAATGAAGAATATTTGAAAATTTCTTGCATTAATTATTTTATTGCTATCATTTTTCAAATAACATTTTTTAGTTCTAATTTTTAAATATAAACTAAAAAAGATTACGAAGTTCTATGCCATTTAAAAGCTGTATCTGAAATTGAGATATATTTTATGTTAAGACAAAAATCAGTTTTCTCTTGTGTTATTAACAGTTAAACATAAGTTGATTCCCATCTCAGTTAAAATGACATTTATGAAATATATTTTTATCGCATTAAACCATTTCCAAAATCCAATGATTTCAATGGCAGCTGCATATCAGCTTGGTATACATCTCAAACTAGAACATTCCACATAGAAACATTGTTGATTTTACTCCAACTAATATATATTTTATATCCCTGACACAAACCTGGTGATTATATTTATTATATGTAGCTTTCATGATTGCATGTTTATCAGCACATTACAACTTGAGTGACTCACACAGTGATGCCTAAATAATTTTTTTTATGTTACTAATTGAATAACAAAGAGTATGATAACCTTTTCTGTTGACATTAACCCTCTGGCTGATCATTCAGCAATTTCCACGGGCAACTCAAATGTAGCAAAATTTGCTCATCCCGTGATTTCCCCAGGCATATATTTTTCTTCCTTTATTGAGGAGCGCATCCCGTTTTTTTCCCGTTTAACCATTGAAATAAACAGTATTAGGCGTTTAGTTTACGTTTTGGCCAACAGATATTGTTAGTAGTCCGCTAAATTGTGGCATTTGAAGGCACATGGTATTAGTGCTCAAACTTCACTTTTTGTCGCTTTTTTCTTACAGAAATGGCTGCTAGAAAACGTTCAGCGATTATCTGGATTATTTAATTAAATTATTGAATTATTAATTAGATTTATTGAGTCTGGTGCAAAGACTGTGAAGTTTGACTTTGCCTTGAACCGTGTTTTGAACTCTATCATACTAAACTGTATTTCTAAGGTATTTTTCCCTCAGTGCTTTATATTTTCTTAAATTTTATACATTTTACTTTTTTATATTATGCAATAAAGAGAATTCGACTGAAATTTATTTTAAAATTAATTCGACTGAAATTTATTTTAAAAAAAGAATTTTTGGTGATAACATCTGATTTTCGTTTTTTTCCTGGTTTTGGATCTGGAACATCTGATTTTGGTTTAGTTTCTCATGATGCAAAAAATAAAAAAAATAATGATATGCAGCTGTGGAGTCAAATTTTTGGAACCGATTTCGGTCCACAAATTGAGCAGTCAGAGTGTTAATTACACTTGGTGTGATTACAGATTTAAGTTAAATGTGCTAAAAAATGATGATGAGGAAAATTTAACAAAAATATCTTTCCATATGCTAAAAATAGATTTTGTTAATGATATTCATAAGCCAAAAGATTAAATTTAGTGCTGTTTGAATTAAGAATAACTGATTTGTTATTCACATAAAGCCAGAGCTTTTATGGCTGCACAGGGTGGCAGAATTTAAGGAAGACAAGATTTTTGGAACTTAGAGAAGCACCGAGGATCAAAATTAAGGGAATGACAAAATTTTTAGAATTTAGGGAAAGCACTAGAACCCAAAATTTAAGGGTGACAAAAATAACTTAGGAAAGCACTTGGTACAGAATTTAGGACACACAGAGACTGCATCAGGTGGTAAGATATCTAACGCCGGCCCTCGATAAGCGTTAAGTAGATGTGGGACTTTATTTTTTCAGGACTCTGATAAGCCTAAAGCATGTGCAAGTATAATAAATAACTAAAATAATACAATTCAGGCTTAATTGTCTCAGTGCGTGAGGGTTCTTATAACACGTGTGAGAAAGGTCTTGAATTTAACACAGTATGAATGTTAAAAAATATTTATGATTAATTGTTCTGTATTGTTTATTTTGCTTTGATGATATTATTTATTTTTGAATATCAAGATTTTAAACCATAATAAAATTGCATAAGTATTCTCTTTCTATATTAAAATTCTTTATACATTGCTCTATTCATTCGTCTGCAGTAAATTGCAGTGAAATTAGTTGGATCTATGTTCTTTTTTTAGGTTATACGTGTACAAAGCCAGACTGTGATAAAACATTTTTAAAATGGAGTCAATTAGTAAAGCACAATGTAATCAGTCATCCTAAAGGTATTGTTAAGTTATTGATTCACTGAAATTTTATGTTGATGTATGGAATAATTTATTTAGTTTCTTTCAACTTTGATTTGCTTTACATATATTTTATCACATATTTAAATAATTACAATTGGGTGCATGGTTTTTTAATTACTAAGCTGCTGATATGTATTTTCCTTTTGAATTTTGATCCTTTGCATCAGTAAGTAAACCTAAGATATATTAGGTAATGTGTAAAATGCTTTCTTAAACAAATTATTCATACATTTTTGAACACCTGAGCTATATAAATGCTAATAATTATTTTCCTATTTATTCTATGAGATACACTGATAAGCAAAAAAAAACCTGTGTGCTTACTAGTAAAGGCCTTCAGACGCTGGGCATTTTGAAAACAGGAGGGGGAAAAAAAAAAAAAGGTTTCATTAACACTGAAATATTTTTAGCTGGTATCCATATACTTCTTTGGGTAAATTTTTTAATCTTCAACAATTTCAGCTGAGACTGCTTTGGATTCTCTGTTATGCTATGATATAACGTTCTGTAATGTAATTTAAACTTATATAACCCTTCAGTGAAAACACAGTTGCCTTTTGCATCCACTCATGATGTTATTTCTTGTGTCTTTTCCATTAGTATAGGCTCATCTGTTAGAATACTTAAAACACTGCACTGAGTGAAAAATTTCAGCAAAATATATTTTGAAAGTCCAGCTTTGAATACACAACTTCGTTGTTCAAATTGTTGTTGTTTTTTTAATTTCCTTCTTTTACAAATATTTATTTTCAGTGTTAAAGCAAGAATATTAATTTTATTTTCCCTACAGTTACATTTCCATAAATTTTGTGTTGTCAAATTCTCTTCTTAAAATTTCACTTTAAGAGAATTTGGAGGGAGGCTTTGAAGGAGACAGCTTTACGTTTTCTAGATATTTTAGTTCAAATTGAATTTAAAGTAAAGCTCTGAAAACAAATAGTTGAGTTAAGACCTTTTTGCCAAATGATAGAGGTATCTCCTGAACCCAGTGATAATCCCAAACTCTTCTGGTCAAAGGATCCAGTGTTTATTTTATTCCACCTAGTGATTCAATCTTAAAATTGAATGCACAAGATCTAAATCATATAATGTTGTCAGCTTAAAGACCATTAATTGCTATGCTAAAGAGTGTGTTTTTTTTACTTATTTGTAGTACAATGAGGATCAACTAGTTATTTGAAATATTCTTTGTAAGAGGATTAATATAAAAATTTATACTTCATGTATTTTTAGTATTTTGTGGCTATGGTCAAAACTGTCAAACTCTTGAAGGTTAGTTTATTTTGTTAAATACTTAATTTGATACAATGTGCTACATAAAAGGTATATCATCGGTATATGGGGTCAATAGCCAAATATGCATTGGTATTTGATCAGCATAATCAACTGATTAAAAAATTGTAAGTAGAACTGATAATTAATTGTATACTGATATTAACTTACATCAAGGAAGAAATCATAAGGGGGAAAAATTACTAAAATTGTCATGAAAGGAAAGTTGATTGCATTGAAAGAGATGTTCAAGTACATGTATTATTCAAAACACATGTTTAAGCTAAATTTTGGAATTTAAAAGCCTTCCAAGCGAAATATTCCAAAAAAAAAAAAAAAAAAAAAAAATTGTTACTGAAACAGCATCATTGACTTTTCCTACCTACTTACTGAAAACAGGCTTTAGTCAAGGAAGTAATTTACAATAGAAAACAAGTTGAATATTTTTGAATCAGGTGATTTAAGAATTAAGTTAAGCAATTTTTTTGCTAGATACTTTTGTTTCAATATATTGAGTGCAACCATCACATTAATTAAAATTGAACTTTTTTTCAAAATAGAATCTGTGATTTTCTTTCAAAAAACTTGTTGATATTTGTGAAATTAAAAATAATAAAACACAAATCTAATAAACTATTTGTTTCAAAACTTTTGTTCATACTTTTAGTCCAATTTTTAAGTTCTGTGCGATTACGTGTATTATGTTTATGTTGTATATTACAGAGAAGTGTCACGCAACCGGTATAGTGGTTAACATCGCTGACTGCCATGCCAAAGGGCCAAGGTTCAAATCCCTGATGAGAAGACATGGATATTTGTAAATGTATAGTGTCCACACGACATGGGGGCACTCTAAATATGCGGCAAGCCGAAAGTCCTCACGAGAGGTTCATGTTTAGGGAAAGACGGGGGTAGGAGACCCTCAGACCCATCCCTGGGGTGCTCTCCATTAAAACTGGGGGCAGAACTGAGCTAAATCACACTGTCACTTGTAAGGTGCTCAAGGCACTCCTTGCCATGAGGAATTTCATGGGCTTGGGCTGACTATAGGTTAAACAAGTGAGCATTAGTCAACAACAACAACAAAATTATTTAGAAAACTATAAGGAAGTTGATGAAGAAAATTATTCTTTTAAAGGGGTCAGGGGAAGAAAAAGATTAGGAATTCCTGTTCTAGAATATTAATTCAGGAACTCACACCGGTATTAAAAAAAGTTACATCATTCAGACTCTCTACCGTTACTTCTTCCATATTCTATTTTGAACTTAATAATTTACTATTTATTTTGAATTTTATTTTAACCCTGCAATGGAGGAGTCAGTGTACAGAGTACACCAATGCCATCTTTTGGGCTGTAATTTTTAGACAACCCCTTGAGCTCCCTCCCTTCCTGTACCCTCCTAGGAACATTCCATGAGTGCAATGCATCTGGTATTTCTGGTCAGTCTGGTTTTCACCTTCCTTTTGAAAGCAGTTATTGTGACCATGTCGCGTAGATGAATGCAGTACGCCGCACCTCCAAGTATGTACAGAAAGAATATTGTACCTCCTGAAGATTATTTGCGCATTTTAGAAGAAGTCTTGGTTGATGAAGACTCCGACAATTTGAATAACGCATCTGATGTTGATGAACCAGAAGCATTGAACATTCTGATCATAAAAGTGACTCAGAAATTGAGAGAAATGTTTCTAAACATCCTCATTTTCCTTCCTGAAATGATGTTTCCCGAACAAATGACGATTTTAGTGATGTTGGAAATGACATAAGAGATTTAAAATATGAGGACTTTTTTGATAAACAATTTTAAAAAAGAAGGAAGTTGGAGGAAAGTTTCTGAAAGAAGAAAAGGAAACATATAAATGGAATAAAGTTTCATTTAAGAGTAAATTCTCCAGAACGCCTCGAAAAAATTTAATGAAAAAAAATATTCTGCTTTCCAGAAAATCATAAATAAAAATATGATTGATGCTATCATACAATGTGCAAATATTTACCTCAAATGTAACAGGACTGCAGATGATCTCTAAAACATCTCAAAGACAAGCATGTATGATACTAATAGAGTGGCCTGTTAAATATTGGCCTGTTTAGGGATTTTATTCTTATTAGAGTGCAAAAAAATGTCAAAATTCAATTTGAAGGAAGCATGGGCAAAAGACGGTACTGGAATTGAAATTTTGCAAGGGGTCATGGGTCTCAAGCGATTCAGAAACCTGTGTGATGCTATTAGATTCGACAATAAAGGGACAAGGTATATGCGAAGAAAAACTAATAACCTTGCTGCACTAAGAGAAATTTTTTAATCTTTCAATCAGAACTGTCAAAACTTTTATACACCAGGTGACAAACTCACAATTGATGATAAGTTGGAACCTGTTCGCAGGAGATGCTCTTTTCTTCAATTCATCCCCACAAGCCCACAAAGTACGGTCTGAAAATTTTTGTAGTTGTTGACTCATGAACGTTTTATACATTGAAGCTTAAAATGTGTTGTGGCAATCAACCTGCAGGACCTTACAAGGCTTCTAATTCAAGTATTGACATTGTCAAAAGGCTAATTGATGTGTACAAAGGTTCAAACCATAACCTGATGACCGATAATTGGTATACAAGCTACCTGCTAGCTCAATATCTTCTTACCAATATAACACTTGTGGGCACTCTGAGAAAAAATAAAAAGGACATTCCAAAGTGAATTCCAGCCATCAAAAACAAGATAAGTTGGCAATTCACTGTTTGGTTTTCAAAAGGATATGACAATTGTTTCGTATGCAATGAAAAGAAATAAGTGTGTAATACTGCTCATTACTTTACAGGATGATGACAAAATTGACCAAGAAACGAATAAACCTCAAATAATCCTACATTATAACAAATGTAAAGGCGAAGTTGACACTGTAGACCAACTTTGTAGTAATTTCACTGTCGCCCAAAAAACCAAAAGGTGGACAATGGCAATATTTTTTGCACTGCTAAACATAGCGGGCATAAATTCGCAAGTGCTCTTGAACTTCACCAAACCTTAATGCAACCATCAAGTTTAGAAGATATTTTTTTGAAAAATCTAGCTACATCTTTGATGAAACCACATCTTCAGAATTGTCTAAAAATGTCATTTCTCCTGTTGCATTCCAAAGCTATTATTGGAAGGCTGGTAACAACAGAAGTGGATAAGATGGCTGAAAAGGACGTTGCACTGACTGTGGTAGAATGAAGAATAATTACACTACCATAAAATGTTCTGAGTATTCTAAGTTTACCTGCAAAAATCACCTGGGCAAGACAGTACAACTTTGCAAACCCTGCTGCAGTGAATAGGGACAATCTGAAGAGGATTATAGTATAGTAGCAAAAGGTTTTTAATTTTTTTCATTTGTGAAATTTATTACTTACCGAACTTTTCTTTATGGAATATTTATAATTTGTAAATTTGATTTATGATCTTATAATTTTCATTATAATTTTCATTCAGAAAATATTATAGAATACTGTATAACTTTAAATTACATTTCCACTGCATTTCATTTTTTGACTTTATTAAAAATTCAAAATTTCCATCTTTAACCTTTTTTTTCTGTTATTCTTTTTCTTATATCCTTTTTACTATGACGAATCACCTTATTCTTGCAATGTATAAGATTAAATAGTTTCAAACATGAAGCAGAGGCTCGAAAAATGACCTGGCTTACTTCATATGCCGCC